GGGATTTTGTAGAGCTCATGTTGAACCATTTGTTTTCTTTAGTATCACAAATATGTCTAAACCAGGTATGGAACACATGCACTTAGGAGGCAGAGGTGGGCATGGCTCTATGAGTCCTAGGTCAGTCTAGTCTACATAGTGAGTTCCAGGCCATCCAGGGCTACATAGAAGGACCTTGTCTCCAAAGCAAATAATTCATACACCCACATAGTTTTAGGCCTTGGTACCAATTGTCAGGTAACTAGCTGATACTCTCTCTGACAAGAAGCTTCCTGGTCAAGGATGGGGACAGGTCTAGACAGACAATGAGAAGATACAGAGCATTCTTTTGTGCCCACCTATCCCCCCAGGTATCCTGTTCCGCACTGTGCCTACAGATCTCAACTGGGGAGTCTGTTCCTCAATAGGGGGTGCCTGTTCCCACTGCCTTCCTGATGTGTGGGTCAGTGAGGTGTGAGTGAGGATGCAACTCTTCTCAGTGCTAACTAGTAACTAATTCTAGATAAGAAGCTTGCCTGAGTCTTGTAAGGCAAATGTCTACAGTTCGTGAGATGTTAGCGCTGCTTTCAAAGATGATTCTTATGAGAAATACTCATAAGGGAATGCCAATAGATCGATTATCAAATAATAGATGCCGTATGTCATGGGTAATGATAGAGAAAAAAAAACCAGATGGAATAGACACTGAAAAAAAGAGCAAAGAAAATTCACCAAGATGCCAGAGAGGTTGTTTCTAAGCTGCAGAATTGGGGCCCCTTGTCCTTGTTTCTGGGCTGTCCAGTTGTTTAATATGAGCAAGTGTGGATCTTAACATAAATGGGAGGAATCACGGTTCAAATCTGTGTTCCAGATGTAGAATATGTTTCCTCACATCAATACATCAGGGAATCTCTGAGATCTAAGAGCCAAATATAATGACTCATATCTGAAATTCCAGTGCTTGGAAAGCTGAGGCAGGAAGATTGCCATAAATTTTAGGTCAGCTTGGTCTACATAGTGGGTTTCAGAGAAGCTTGAGTTATGTAATAAGAACCTGTCTCAAAATAAAACCTAATAAAATATAACAAAATGAAGAAGAGGAGGAGGAGGAGGAAGAGAAGGAGGAGGGAGGGGAAGGAGGAGAAGCAGAGGAGGAAGAGGAAGAAGAAACTGGAAAGTTTGTGTAAAGACCTTCAGCCACTGCTACCCTGAGACATAGGCTCTCCTTCCTGTTGTCCAACAGTGTGCAATGAAGGCCTTCACTTTGTCTGAGGACACAAGGAGAGTTGAAAGTCACGTGGGAGCTATTGTTTAGACACTCGGGCCTGAAGGAAGCAAGCTCAGAGACAGACCCAAGCTGCCAAGGGCTCCGCAAGCACAGGTTAATGTTAGATATTTCTCTTAAACAAGCCTCTCTGCTGATGCAAATAATCCCAGTCAAACCAAATCAGACTGAATAAAAGATGCCCATGTTTAATAAATGCTCCGGGGTGGCCCTGGGAAAGCATGGAGAGGGGAAGAGAGGAAAAGGGAGACCACGTATCATTCTATGGGGGGGGGGCAGTTTAAATAGCCTATGGGAGTGATCTTGACCTTCTCTGGGGAGGGGTTACCATTTGGCAAGCCTTCCTGACCCTCCCTGGATAGGGTCACTGTTTGGTGCTCTTTCTTTTTAGGAGATGGAGTTTGGACGGAGGCAACTCCCAGGGGAGGGGGCTTATGCCAGGGGCTGCAGTGAAGCCCCCCAGCCAAACAGTTACCCCAGAATGCTTAGGAAATCAGAGGGAAGCCAAGAAGGAACTATCTAATACAGCATGGAAGCTGTCCCCATGCGGGTGCTGGTGGGTTGCCAAGGCAGGAAGGCAGGTCTAGGAGAGCAGGCCAGGTCAGGCCCCAGCTCAGCTCAGAGACTCCAACTCCTCTAACAGCTCCAAGCTCTCTACTCCTTGTCTGGTGTTTCTGTCTTTCTGTTTCTCTTACCTCCCTCACCAGCCCCCAGCCCCCACCCCACACCAACCCACAGCACCCTAATTGCATCACCCTCAACTGAATTTGTTGTTGGGGGTTGCAGCTGCTGCTGGGTTGCCCTGGTAACAGTCACACTCCAGTTTTTGAAAGGGAACTAAGGAGGTCAGGGAGGAAGCTAGGGTGGGGCATGGTGGGGACAGGACAGAAGTGGAGCTTGTACTAGGCCCCCTGGAGCTGCAGAAGGCGACTGCCACCCCAGTGCCACACACATCCGCATTTGGCTGAGTGTCTTGAGCAACCCTCATGTAGGGCCTGAGAGCTTTGGTTTCCTGAGGAGAGAAACTGTCTGGACAGAGGCGCGCGAAGGGCAGGTATAGAAGTGTGGTAACAGGCTAAGCCCAGAGCTGGGGAGACAGAGGCAGACGGAGCTCTGTAAATTTCAGGCCAGCTAGGGCTACATAGTGAGGCCCATCTCAAAACAAACAAATTAAATGTGGCTAATTCCATGGGGAGATCTGCCCACTCTTTCCCACTATTCCATAGAGTCCTCAGGAATACTGTCAGAATACTGACAAATAGGTTTAAGAAGTTTAACTGCACACCTAAGAGCTAAGAGATAACGAGTGTGGGGGGGGGGGTCTTCTGAACAGGGTCTTTCAGGCAGGCGGTGGTGGTGCACACCTTTAGTTCCAACACTCGGGAGGCATGGATAGGCGACCTCTGAGTTAGAGGACAAACTGGTCTACAAAGTGAGTTCCAGGACAGCCAGAACTACACAGAGAAACCCTGTCTCAAAAGACAAACAGAAAAAGAAAGGAAGGAAGGAAGGAAGGAAGGAAGGAAGGAAGGAAGGAAGGAAGAAAAAGGGAGGGTAAGGAGGGAGGGAAGGAGAGAAAAAGAGAACCAAACAACAAAAACACACAAAATGGGGTCTTCCTATGTATGTACCCTAGGCTGGCCTAGCCTTGCAGTGACTCCTCCACCCCCTACTCTCTCTCTCTCTCTCTCTCTCTCTCTCTCTCTCTCTCTGGAAGCACTAGGGATTGAAGCCAAGGCCTTGCGGTGTGTGCAGTTGTGTGGAAGAGTACCAGTTTGAGAATACATGCATGCACACACATGTAGAAAGTGCAGCAGGTGTTGTGCAAAGGTGAATTCTTCTTGGAGAATGAGATCGCTGCCATCTCAGGAGAGAACGAGTTTGTTTAATCCCAGCTACTTGGAAAGCTGAGGCAAAAGAATAAGAAAAAAGCCAAGGTCTCCCTGGGCTGTGCAGAGAAGCCAGGTAACCTAGTGAGAGCCTGTCTCAAAGCAAAGGTACAAGTGGACTGGGGGTGCTCGGTGCTCAAGTGCGTGCCTAGCACGTGTGAGAGGCTAAGTTCAAGATTTAGAAACTAACCGCCTAACGAATTAAAGTTAAAGAATTCAGGAAAGTTCAGCAAATCCCGGAGCAGTGGTTTTCGGCCTTCCTGATGCTGCAACCCTTTAATACAGCTCCTCTTTCTGTGCTGACCCCCAACCAGAAAATATTTTGTTGCTATTTCATAACAGCAATTTTGCTACTGTCATGAATCATAATGCAAATATCTGATACTCGGGGCTTTTGATATTTGACCCCCAAGAGGGTCTGCAACCCTCCGGTTGAGAGCTGCTGTCTTAGAATTGTCTGAGCCGGGATGATTTTCAGCTGGATATGATATGCTCTGTTCCTTGGTCCTCTTTGTCTGCAAATTTGAAAATTTGACCCAGATCTGATAAAATGTAACCTGTCACACACCATTTCCATGGCAACGACACATTTGCTATGGCAGTACGCATACAAACCAGAACCAGGAACTTGGCAAGCACCTGGCGTGAGTTTTAGCTGGGCAAACATCTGCAAAGCCGGCGGCCCTGCTCCCCATGCCTGGTGAGGGTCTCCAACCCCGGCTGAAGCCGAATGTCTGGCCCACACTTGACCCTCAGTAGGTGTGCTTGCTGGCTTTGTGTCAGCTCGACATAAACCAAGACAAACCTGGGAAGAAGGGTTCTTAGCTGAGAAAGTGCCTCCCTACGATTGACTTGTAGGCAAGTCTAGAAGGCATTTTCTTAATTAGTGATTGATGTAGGAGGACCCAGCCCATTGTGGGCAGCGCCACCCCTACACAGGTCCTGGTGTGTATAAGAAAACAGGTTGAACAAGCCATAAGGAACAAGCCCCAAAGCAGCACCCCTCCATGGCCTCTGCAGCAATCAGTTCCTATCTCCAGGCTTTGGCCTTGCTTGAGTTCCTCCCCTGACGTCCCTGGGTGATGGAGTACAAGCTGTGAGATAAAATAAACCCTTTCTGCCAGGCAGGACTCAGGAGGCAGAGGTAGGCGGATCTCTGTGAGTTCGAGGCCAGCCTGATCTACAAGAGCTTCAGGACAGGCTCCAAAGCTACAGAGAAACCCTGTCTCGAAAACCAAATAAATAAATAAATAAACCCTTTGCTCCCCGCGTTGCTTCTGGTCACGGTGTTCTACTCCAGCATTAGTAGGTGCAGGCTGCCATTAGCCTATCAGGAATCAGCATCCTCTACTGTCATGTATCCCAAATATAGCTATTCTAAATGGCAAGGTGTCTAAATGTATGTCACCCCGAATGAGCCCGGCCTGTCTGATCTCAGAAGCACTAGTGTTGCGATAAATGGCCACCGAACAGTCAGAACTATGGTATGAACTGTGAGTCAAATGCTACCACCTGCCCACTTAGTAACTGGGAGTGATTCTCGCAGTCTTAACCCTTTTTGGCGGAGGGAGAGGTCTGTAATTCCATTCAGAAAAAGGAGCCAAGGAGATTAGAAGTTCAAGGTCATCCTCAGCTATAGGTTGACTTTCAAGCCAGTCTGGGCTAAGTGAGATTCTGTCTCAAATAAATGAACAACAGTAACAAAATCCAAATGAAAGACGTATGTCTCAGACTTCAGTGTCTGCCCACCGTTTCCCCGAAAGGCGGCCACACTCATTCACTGATTGACATGTCTTCCAAAAAGTCCTCATCAGCACACACACACTCCTGCACTCACTCATCAGTACCTTAACACCAGCTGGCCTCCACTTTGGAAAGCCTAAGACAGGATTAGGCCGTAAAGGATGACTGTTATTTTCTGAGCAAGCACTCGGGGGTGGTGCAATTCCAGTCAGCCCGGCAGGAACCCGCTCAATGTGCCCTTTGTTCTCCCAGTCCTTGATCTTCCATTCTTATGACAACTTCTCAGGGCCTGCTGTGTCCTATTTGAACTGGCTCAGCTGGAGAAAAGAAAGAAAAAAAAAATGAGCGGGCTTTGTCCACACCTTCAGTCAGACCGGAGAGTGTGGTCAAAAAGCAGAAAATGAGGACGCAGCAGCATTAAAATGTATACTTACTTAGCGTTCTCTGTGGACCAGGCACTTTGAGGAAATATGGGAATTGTGCTACTTAGGCTTACTGTTGCTGTGATAAAACACCATGACCAAGGCAAGTTGGGGAGGAAAGGATTTGTTTGGCTTATGCTTCTCTATCACCATTATCACCGCTCAGGACAGGAACTCAAGCAGGGCAGGATCCTGTTGGCAGGAGCTGATGCAGAGACCATGAAGGGGTGTTGCTTACTGGCTTGTTCCCCTTGGCTTGCTCAGTCTACTTTCTTATAAAACCTAGGACCACCAGGCCAAGGATGACCCCACCCAGAGGGGGTTGGGCCCTCCCCTATTAATAACTCATTAATAAAATGCCTTACTGGTTTGCCATCAGCCTGATCTATGGAAGCATTTTCTCAGCTGAGGCTCCCTCCTCTCTGATGACTCTAGCTGGTGTCAAATTGACATTCCAGTACAGTAATGGATAAGAAAAAGTCCCTAAGAGAGCAGGAGACAAAAAGGAAAAGACTTTATAAAACAATGCAATGAGCCAGGCGGTGGTGGCAGCGGTGGTGATGGCGCATGCCTTTAATCCCTTTAATCTAAGCACTCGGGGGCAGAGGCAGGCGGATCTCTGTGAGTTCAAGGCCAGCCTGGTTTACAAGAGCTAGTTCCAGGACAGCTAGAGCTATTACACACCGAAATCCCAGGAAAAAAAAAAAAAAAAGAAAGAAAACCAGTTCAATGAATGCTATAATAGAAGTATGGACAGCATGAAGGAGGGGGAGAAACTAATACATTGTGTTCCAGTTCTAAAGAGAAATCATAGGAAGGTGACAGCCTTGTCCCAAGGGACCCTGAATAAAGGAGAAGCTGCTGAGCAGAGGGCCAAAGACCTCACAGTCTATGGAGCAGGTCACAAAGGGACATTTGAACAGGAGGGCTGGCAGGAGTGGACTCCAAGAAATAAGCCAGGACTACATCGTAAAGGACTTTCTGAGTCTCTGTCTAGGAGCAAAGCTCTACTCTAGACGAGATAAAAAGTCTTCAAAGATTTGAAGAGAAGTAAGAGAACCAAGTGTGAGCTTTCAAGGTTATTGTCAGTTGCAACCTGGAGTTACTCTCCGGCGTGGAGAAAGCTTGGATTTAAATAAACAGATGGGGGCTGGAGAGAGAGAGGCTTCCTGCTCTTCCAGAGGACCCGAGTTCAGTTCCCAGAATCCACATTAGGCAGCGCACAACCACCTGGATCTCCAGCTCCTCTTGACTTCATGGGCACCTGCACACACATGGCATTTACTCTCACAAACATATACACGTAAGTAAAATAAAAACAAATCTGGAAAAGCAAACAGGTCATGGATGACAGAGAAGGCTGGTAAGCAGAACGATCATGATATAGAGCTAATAAGACTTTAGGATATATCACATTTAGATAAAAGAAAAGAAAGAGAACCGTGTGAAGCCTGACCTCTGAAATGGGCATCTAGACAGATATACTGACCCCCAGCTTTGAAAAGAGTAAATGACAGAAGGGCAGATTTCAACTGGGAATGGGAAAGTACTGGGTGTGGTGGATTTAGCGGTTGACTTGCAGCATGACAGTTTGGGGTTACCTAGATCTAATAGAGAGTTACTGATAGTGTGGGGTACCAGCCCAGAAATGTTGGTGTTGCAGGCATGAATTTAAGAATTATTAGGAAGTGGGGAGACTAGAGGGATGGCTCAATAGTCAAAGGCACTAGCTGCTCTTTGGGTTCAATTCCTAGCATCCACATGGCAATTCACAATCATCTGTAACTCCAGTTCCAGGGTCATCTGATTCTCTTTACTGGATTCTGTGGGTACAAGGCATGAATGTGATGCACAGACACATATGCACACAAAAGATCCATACACATAAAATAAAATTTAATAAAAAATAAAGGAAAAGAATTACTGGGGCCAGGCATAGTGGCCATGCCTTTAATCTCAAAGTTTGAAAGGCAGAGGTAAGTGGATTTCCATGAGCTGCAGGCCGACCAGGATGGTCAATTGAATGTGAATAGCTCTCATAAATTCGTATGTTTGAATATTCTGTATCTAGTTGGTGGGACTATTTGGGAAGAATTCAGAGGTGTGGCCACTTTAAAGGAAGCAAGTCACTGGGGCAGACTTTAAAGTTTCAAAAGTCTCATGCCTTCCCAGTGTACTCTCCACCTCCTGCTTGTGTTTGGAGATGTGAGCTCCCAGCTGTTCCTGCCACCCTGCCTTCCCTCCACCATGAGGGACTCTAACTCTCTGGATCCCTAAGCCCATTTTTATTATATAAGTTACCTTGGTCATAGGATTTTATCACAGCAATACAAAAGTAACTAATGCACAAGGTTACATAGAATCTCAGCATAATAATAGTAGTAATAACAGTAACAGGCTAGCAAGAATTAAGGATTTGCATCACATGTCTGACTACCTGAGTTTAATCTCCAGAACCCATAAGTCTTAGCTGAAGCTCTATTGCTGCAAAGAGACATCATGACCACTGCGACTCTTACAAAGGGAAGTATTTAATTGGGGATGACTTACTGTTTCAGAGGGTTATTAGTCCATGATCAGCTTGGCAGGAAGCATGGTGGCACAGAGACAGAACTTGTGCTAGAGGAGCTGAGAGATCCACATCCGGATCTGCAGGCAACAGGAAGGAGAAAGACACCGGACCATCTTGAGCATTTAAAACCCCACTGCCCACCCCCAGCATACATTTCCTCTAACAAGGCCGCTCTTCCTAAGCCCCAACAAGTAGTGCCACTTCCTGATGACCAAGCAGTCAAAGATATGATCCTGTGAGGGCCATTCCTATGCAAACCACCACAGGTGATGGAAAGCAGAACCCAGAAGGAAAGGGCAGCAATGCCGTGGAGAACAGACCCACCCGCTCTCTTCCAGAGAGCAGGAGCAGAGGAATAAAATGCAAAGATCAAACCCTCCTAACACCACGGATGCCCACAAGGTCTACTTGGAGCATCACAAAAACCCACTGGTGTTTTTCCAGAACACAGGCCGGGGCTAGTGACCTGGGAAGCCGGATGATTTAAAGTCAGGTGGCTGGTTTTTATGCACATGAAAAAGAACCTGCTCGGCTGAGTGGCGGCGGCGAACACCTTTAATCCCAGCACTCGGGAGGCAGGCAGTTCTCTGTGAGTTCGAGGCCAGCCTGGTCTACAAGAGCTAGTTCCAGGACAAACTCCAAAGCTACAGAGAAACCCTGTCTCGAAAAAACAAACAAACGAACAAACAAAATGAAAAAGGACTTGCCCTAGTGCAGAAGGAGGACCTGTCTCAACAGGGGCAGAATGGGAACAGGAGGAGCACGCCTGGGTTTGAAGAGCTGGAAGCAGAGACAAGGGCGCATACAAAAAGCAGCACTTCTGCCGTTTTCTCCATTCCCTTCTCTCTTTTGTCAACACTGGTTGTCTTCCTTGGAAAACATCTATGTGCTGTGCTCTGGAAACGGGCCAGTCGGTTCTTATAACTCTCCAAGGTGTGGCACTGGGTTCTCACAAAGTCCGAGTCTCACGGGAGCGTGTGATTGCAGGGCTTACACTCTCGCAGAAGTGTTCCTCCACTAAGCACCCTGCTGTGGACAGGACTTAAGCCGTAAACCCCACAGCACGCATTTCTCTGTAAAGAGGTCTGCCATGAGCTGGGTAAGAGCCAGCTCTCTTCTCTCTGCAGCTCATGGTGTGGCGCCACCGAAGCAGGAAAACAGTGGCGAAACTCCCAAGCATCACTTCTAATACAAGCTCTTATTTTGGCTTAGCTTGAGCCAAACAGTAAGGAGTTCAGGAAAAAAAAAAAAAAAAGGTGCCAGGCCACTGTCAAGCTGGAATCTACTTCCAGGTCTACAAATCATACCTGAGTCCTACCAAATAGAGATTTTCACACTCCTTTTTACTTCCTTATAATACTAATAAGATTAACTTGCTTGAGCCTCTGATGGTTTTTCTCTTGACCTACTTGTATTCCACAGAACTATATAGGATTTAAGTTTGCTAGACTCCATGAATATTATCCCTAAATATCCCATACAAATATGCAAATGACTTAAATCGATAATTAATATACAATGACTTAAAACTATAAGCCTGCTGCACCAGAACCCTTGCATTAGAAGGAGAGAACCAATCTTGGTGCCTCAAGCCCTCATTATAGTTTTATAAATCATAAAAATAAATATTAAAACTTAACATTCTGTTCATCAAAGGAGAGCATTAAAGAATGAGAAAGCAAACCAGAATTCTTTAAGATCTCTTAGACATCAGTTAGAAAAACAAGAAGCAAAATAGTGCAAACACTGGGCCAAAAACTAGGGGTCTGGAGAGATGGCTCAGTGATTAAGAGCACTGGCTGCTTTTGTGGAGGACTCAGGTTCGATTCTGAGCACCCACATGAAAGCTCAGAACCATTTGTAATTCCTGTTCCAGGGAATATCTCTGGCCCCTGTAGGCACCAGGCATGATTATGTTGCAATCATACATGTAGGCAAAACACCTTCACATATAAAATATTTAATAATAGTAAAACTTAGAACTACACCTTCTTTATTAGTGGTGGTATTGTGACACAGTGTACACCCTTTGTTCGTCTGCTGCTTGTTTTTCTAGACAGAGTTTTGTCTTGGCTCCCAGGCTAGTCTTGAACTCTGAGCTCCAATGACCCTTTGACCCCAGCCTCTCAGGTACTGGTATTTCAGTCGTCACGTGCCACCAGCACTAGAACTAGAATATTTTTGCTGGATTTTTTTCTCTCTAATAAGGATATTCCCTCATGCCAAGTTTGCTGTTTTTAATCCTAGCATGACTTTTGACATAAATGAGATTGCAAAGTGTGTGTGTGTGTGTGTGTGTGTGTGTGTGTGTGTGTGTGTGTGTGTAAAATTCTTTTGAGCCATAGTTGATTCTGTTTTGATTTTAGAAAATACTGTCACAATGACTTAATCTGGTCTAGCTCTCCACCCACCCGAGTCCCTGGGTGATGACTGAGCCCCATTCTCAGGACTTGCAAGTGCCCCCGCAGAAGCGTGACAGGGATGATTGCTACCTCTACTTCAACCCTTCAGCAAAGTTCACAGCCTCATTGTATTTCGTCCCCCGGGACGACCTCAGCTGATCTGTGCCCGCGCTATCCAGGCTCCTCTTTCTGCACACATCACAGTCTTTGAAACTCTTCAAAGTTCCCAGGCGTGGACCGAAGAAGCTCTTAAAGCAAAAAGGAAGCTTCTCATGGAGCCAAGGAAGTAGGCCAGTAGGAACAATCAGAGAGGCACCAAAACTCTCTTATCAAGAAATAATGACTTCCAGTCAGTCTCCTAGGAACCGGATCACAGTTCAGGGCTGAGGATCTAAGAATATTCCATTTCTCTCCTTCCACCTTAGTTAAGAAGAAAAGTATTTAGAAATTGTATCGAAGGCTGGCAAGACAGCTCAGGAGCCACAAAGGAACTTTTCTGCCAAGCCTGCTAAATCAGAGTTCAATCCCTGGAAGCCACATGACTGACAGAGAAAACCAACTCCTGAAAATTGTCCTCTGAGCTCCACGTGTGTGCTGTGGCACATACACCCCCCCTTCCACACGAAATCAATTCATTTCATTTTTAAAAACCACATTGAGCTATTGCTTCACCAAGCTCTTAATGACCTGAAAGACAATGGAGAAGCCAATGTTGAAGATATATATATAAGGGATATATATATATATATATATATATATATATATATATATAATAAAACTTAGAACTACACCTTCTTTATTAGCGGTAGTATTGTGACACGCTGTATCGCAAGATATATATATATACACTCAGGAGGTATCTGGGGATATATATATATACAGTACCTGCCAGAGGCCAGGTAGTAGTCTAGATAGTGCATTAGTGATTGCCTTTGCCTTAAAGGGCTACTGGGGACAAGCAGTAACAGCTATTGCCAGGTTTGGTGGCCCACACCTTTAATCTCAGCACTCAGGAGACAGGGATCTCTGTGAGTTTGAGGCCAGTCTGGCATACATGTGAATTCCAGGACAGTCAGAGCTACATAGTGATGAGACCCTGTTTCAAAAAAACTGAAAATGAAAAGCTTTAATAACAAATTCATTTGTTTAATGCTAGAATTCCATGAGACATTGTGCAAAGCACTTTAACATATATGTTCAATATGTTTTAATAGTAACAATATATGATACTGTATTAAATAATATATATTTTATCACACTGGCATTTTAATGTCATAGCACATTTATGAAGAAGATATTGCATCTTCCCTCTTTTATAAATGAGTCAATTGAGGCATTGAGAAGTTAAGTATTCTGCCCTAAGAACACAAAGTAGGAAAACTAAAGCAAAGGGTCCCACGTGTGTAGCTTAGACAGTGTGTTGCATAAGCAACACCCTGGAACACATACATGGAGGCAAACTACTCATACACATAAAATAAATAAATCTCTAAAAGAAAGAAAGGAGAGAGAAAGGAAGGAGAGTGGGAGGAAGGAAAGAAAGAAGGACTGTAAGGAAGAATGCTGGACAACCTGGAAAAGTGCCAGGATCCAAGAAGAAGCCGCCATCTGAGCCATCCTGAAGGTCAGGCTTGTCAGGGTCTGGATAGAAAGGTGGGGAACTGAAAAGCATTCCAACCAGGGTTTGAAGACTTGAGAAAATATAGACTGCCTGTGTCACTGGGGACACACGTAGGAGCCAGAGCCAGAGGGGAGGGAAGGCCCATTCCATTGAGGAATGTGAAGATGAGGGTTCCTGAGAGGTTTGCAGCCAGGAACTGACAAGGTTGGGCGTGGACAGCAGAGGTTTGGGAAGCCAAGGGAAGGAGCAGGAAGCCTCTTGACTGAACTCAGAATTCTACTCCAATGAGAGCTGGCTATTTCCTAAGGCAGGCAAGACCGGCCCGCCACGGTACGTGGCTGAAGCAATCCTGACGTCCTGCCCCGCTAACAGGAGCAGACGTCATCTCCCATTCTCACCTGGCCCAGGACATCAGACTTCCTTCCTGGGACTATTGTCCATCCCACCTCACCGCTGGAAGTATTGGCGTTGGCCTCTGAAATGTCCTTTAATCGTGTATGTGCGCTGGTGCACATGTGTGCCGTGGCACATGCATGATGATTAAAATCAAACTTGAGGGTGTTATTCCTCTTCTTTCCTAAGTCGGTTCTGGTGATGAAACTGAGGTCAGGCTTGGTGGCAAGTACCTTGGATTGCTCAGCCATTTCCCAAACAAACCAAGTTTTGTTGAAAAGTATTTCACATATCATGAAATTCCCTTTTTTGAAGAATGCACTTCAGTAGCTGTTAATGTTTCGGGAGTATCATCTGATATATTTGTGTGTCCACCGAACTAACCACTTTTAGAATATTTTCATGGTATCCAAAATGAACATCCCACCCTTTAGCTGTCATCCTCCGCCACCGTCCTTTGTCTAGGCTGTCTCTAGAGGTTTGTATGTTATGGAATAATAGCGTTTGGGGTTCATACAAATAGAGTCTTTAGTTTAGCGTGCTTCTAAGTGCATGTGTCATAGTATGGATCAATAATTATCTACTTTTTATTACCAGATGAATTCAGTCTTTTAGACACTTCATCCGCCCTTTTGTCAGTGGATGGGCCAAATTCAGCATAAGGTTTCCAGTTCTACCTCAACTCTGAGGTAAGTACCGAGATTACAGGAACATCAATTTGAAAGGTCATTCAAAGAAAGCTAAAGATTTTAAGATTTATTTATTTCGGGGCTTGGAGAGATGACTGAGATACTGTTCTTCTTGAGGACCAGAGTTCAATTCCCAGCTCCCACACTGAGCAGTTTACAACCGCCTGTAACTCCAGCCCAAGGGGATCTGACACCTCTGATTTACATTCATGTGCAAACACCCCACCACCACACACACATACATATAATTAAAATACTAAAAATATTTTTTAAAAAAAGGAAAGAAAAGAAGAGGGGGATATTTTTTTAAAAAATATTTGTTTTTATTTTATGTGTATGGGTGTTTCTCCTGCATGGAAATCTGTGCACCACATTTGTGCCTAGTGTGCACAAACGCTAGACGAGGGCATCACATCCCTAGAACTGGAGTTATAGACTCTTGTGAGCTGCCATGTGGGCTCTGGGAATAGAACCTAGGTCCTCTGGAAGAGCAGCCAGTGCTCTTAACTGCTGAGTCACCCCTCCAGCACCAGAAGTTAAGGGTTTTAAAGGACAAAGAACCAAAAATATGGGAGTAGAACCAAGGAAGAGAGGTGTCCCACACACACACACACACACACACACACAAAGCAGAGAGAGAGAGAGAGAGAGGGAGAGAGAAGAGAAAACAATATTCCACAGATGTAGGAAGCTATGGATTTGGCAATATGGAGGCCACCATGGAAGCTTCAGCTGAAGTGATATCAGCATACCTCAGGAGGACACAGTGTACGGATGGAGAAGGAAGAGGAGGAAGATGCACCCAGGCGGTACCCTCTTCCTTGTTAGAGATCTTCAGTATCTGTGGTTCCAGCTCCTTCTGAGGCCCACAACTAGCCTGGCCTTGTTCTTTGGCTTCTTAGAAACTGCCTGTATGTCCCTAGTGATGCACCACCTTCTCTTCCCTGCCATTCAGAACAGCCCTTGGCTTTCCATAGATTAAATCTCACAGACAAAGTGACTGAGACTCAGGTGTCTTTCAAAAACAGGCAACTAATAGACAGTATCAAAACCCTAACCCCAGGCAACTTACCTTTGGGAAGCCCACGCCATTTGATGTCTCTTCTTCTTTCTTGGAGTCCATTTCTATTAGCCCTTGCACAAATCTCAGTTTAAATTTTTTCTCTTAATAAACTCCACCTCCTTTTTATATGGGGGGAGAAAAACAAACACACAGGTTCATCCCAGAGCATCTTGTCTTGAAGACCTTGAAGAAAAGGGCAGCTATGCATGTATTAGTCCGCTTGTGTTACTAAAACAAAAATACCGGAGGCAGCTAACTTACAGAAATAAAAGGGTTACTTAGTTTACAACTTTGCAAGTTCAGAGACTAAGGGTGGTGGGTCACCACTGATTTGACCTCTGGTGAAGATAATCAAGGTGGAGTACACACTGGAGCTATTGCAAACTGAAGCAAGAGAAAGAGCTGGTGGAATCAGGTTTGTTCCTCCTACAACGATGCTTCCTCCTACAATGATGCTTTTGTGAGAACTCATAAAATGATGGGTGAACTGACCTTTCACTAGGCCTCAAGGCGACAGTGTCCTACCCTGATGGGACCTGAGACAGCAGCCACAAAGACCTTTAGTTTTGGGGTGTTGAGTTTGTTGTTGCTGTTGTCGTTGTTTTGAGGAAGGGTTGTTTGAGATTTTTTTTTTTTTTTTGCTTTTTGTTTTGGTTTTGAGGCAGGGTCTCTTTATACAAACCAGGTTAGCCAGAACTCACAGAGATCCTCCTATCTCTGCCTCCCAAATGTGGAATTAAAGGAATGTGCCACCATGCCTGGCTTAACATACACACCTCTGGAAGGCAATCAATATCCAATGTATTTTTCCATATCATGGATAAGATCTGAAGAGAGATAAGGGAGAGGAGCTAGGGAGGTCTAATTGATTTGGAAAGCCTTAATGCTCTCTCTGGGTACGAGTTAGCTAAAGAACACTGGGAACTATTCAGTACCAATGCTAGAATCTGAATATTTTATCCATGCATGCCTTCTGTCTGCGTTGGTCTTAAGATTCACTGACGTGAGAGGCATCTGAAGTACTAGATAGGTAGGCAGCAGCAACTTCCCAGACAGCAAAATGTCTGGACATGGAAATGGCCTTTGATAGCCTCACGCTTCATAAACCATGCATGCTCCATTGTGCTCTCTTGACTTCAGCCTCCTGAAATCTATGACAGATTCTTCCAGGGTAAGGTCCTAACTTTACTCATATTTTTTATAATACCCAACAAAGAGCTACCAAAGACCACAGAGTATGGTCACTAAATCCAAAGACCAAAGAGTATGGCCACTAAATAGTTTAAGAATGGATAGATAACATAACACTCCTAAGTGTAATGGTCTGTCCTGTCCCTTTAAGAGACAAGCCCTGCCCACTTGCCCCACAAGCAGTCCAACCTGAGTCCCTTCCTTTCCACCTCTCTCCCAAAGAGGCAGCTTCTGCTTCTCTCCCTTCTCTCCACTTCTCCCCTCCCCCTTGTGTTTCTCTCTCTCTCTCTCTCTCTCTCTCTCTCTCTCTCTCTCTCTCTCTCT